AGTTAGATAAATAAAAAAAAGATAGGAAACTTTTATTGCAGTAAATGTGTCCGTTTTTATAATATTCCTATAATGTTCCCATTGTATAATTTCCCCTGTTAATATGAAAACTACTAGGAAATTATAAAAACGACCTCCTTTTGCACCAACTAAACAATATTTCCTTGAAAATGATTATTGTCTACTCTTAAAAATTGGAATCTATGGAAAACCAAAAATAACCTCATCAATGCACCAACTAAATGCCGAACATATTTACAAGTACCTTTGTCATTTTAGGATCCTTAAGTAGGTTCCACATTTATGTAAAGTATTTTACATAATCTTGATAGTATACTTATTGCTATATTATTAAAATATTATAAATTTAATAAAAATGCTTATTTATTAGTTGGTTCTAATACTCAATATCATAAATACGACGATACAGAGAAAATCGTTTTTTTATTCCGTTCATTCAAGAGTAAAATAAATAATTTAATTTTCATCCATTCAGTTTAAAGTGATTTTTTTTATAAATTGTTAAAATATTCCATAAGCTTAAATGAACATAATTATTGTTACCGAGTTTCGCATAAAATAGTTTTTGATGAAACCTCAAAAAGTTCTTTAACCTGGAGTCTATAATGTACTGTTGTTGATAAAATACTAAGAGATTATTGAAAACTGCAAATAAGATTTACAATTCTTCACTGCCAAGCCTGCTTTGACTAATGAACTAGAAGACTTTAGTTAACGGATAATAAAACATTTGATAAAACAAAACTTTATACTCTGTCTCCTTAATATCGTGTAACGAATATTCCAGAAGACTAATACAATAATTAGAGAACTAATCCTATATTAAAAAGCGTGTACCTGTAATAATTATTATGGATACACATTTGCAACAAATACAAAAAAAAAACAAATTCACGAGTTGTTTTCAATTAAAAATAGTTTAAATTTGAAAATCATAAATAAAAATAAAATAATGTTGTGGATGGGTATTATGAAAGTTAGGGATACATACATTTATTAAATGCATATATCTACATAACGATAAAGCCGTACGATTTTCGTTGAAATTGAAATCTAAAATGAATATAAAAATAACTACGTTTTACTTTTTGTTTTTTTTTTTACCATCAAACAAAACTTATGGTAAACCTCAAGTTGAATTTTCAAACATTTTAGATGGGTTTGAAAAATTAAATTTACATAAATCGAAAAATATAAAATAAATATGCCGTCATTATTACGATTTTCATTAAAACACAACGCTTATAAAAAGAAACGTCTTCATTACATTTTATTTAATACACCGTATACAACGTATAAAGAACCTAGTGTAAGTATTGATACTCGGGCAAAATATTATGTGAACATGAAGCCAAATATAAATTTAAAAAGCTAAACAATTTCAAATGCCTGTAAATAGCTCAAAAATTGTCACGTTTGAAAAATTGGACGATGTCTATAAGGCCTATAATACTTATATTAAATTTTAGCAAACTTTAACTTTAAATAAACTGAGGTAATTTTCATGATGATTTACAAGGACATTGAAAATAAGAAAACCGTTATTGCATATATAATTACATTATTTTCCTGAGAAAATCGAAAAATGATCTCTTTATAATACCTCCCCAGTCCGGTTTCCTTTCAGAAAAAATGCTATCATTGTAAATCGGAGCAAGATTTCTGGTAAAAAAAGTTTCACATAGATAAAAAAAAAATATATATATATATATATCTTTGTAAAACTATAAACTTCTTCGCTTCACTCGGAATCTAAGAGTCATTGTTCTCGCTTCGGTCGAACGATTTTTTTTCGGAACTTGCTTTTAAACATCCATATATCTGTACATAAGTGATTGAAGCGTTACCTACGGTTTGTTTTAGCAATACATCATCCGACTGTTACCGGTAATGCATATCTGTTTAATGTTTTACATTGGGGAAAACCCTGAACGTATCGTTTCATGTGAACAATGTGTAAACACGAAATAATAAAACAAATAAATAAAAATAAATGAGGAAGAACGTTATGACACATTTATTTTTATGTCGCACGTTCTTATTGATGTTCATGTGCAGACCATATCGTTAAAATTGCTGGAACCTTTAAGTATTAAAGATCAACAAACCCAAAAACCGTTTTGGTTTGCACGAATCGATCACATTTCGTCGAAATTTCCCAGACCATATATGATCATGTGCGTACGAATCCGAAATGTATACACTCTGCGTGGCGGTTTATTTTACCGAAAAAAATGAGGGCTTGTGCTGCGACGTCCGCATTCCATATGGACCGCACAGACGTAGTTACACATTATTTTATCGCCCGTGTTCTTGTACTCAAGAACAATACAGGTTATAATGTTTTACAATAATAACAATGATTTGTTACGAACAACATACGTCTCCTTGTCAACCAAATCAACAACCGTAACTATGTACTGAAACCTGTACGGACGGACGCACGCAACAAGAAGTTCTGAACTTGTGTTTAGAAATCTAAAACTATAATAAGTACACCAAATCTAGTTCTAAAAGAGAAGAGGAATAAGAACAACTCGAGTTTATAGAAATGCATACATTATTATTTTATTGTATTAAATATGATATAAAATATATTAAATAACCAAAAACCGTGAAATTTAAGTGCCCGAATAAATAAATATGTAAATTATAGAATTATACATTGAGTACACTATTCGCATATCTCGTTTGTATGATGTAGTGCGCTAGTATAATTTAAATTAGTATCGATTGTAGGTATGATAATGACTGTATTTTAATGTGCCAAAACGAAATGACACTGGTATGAAATTAGTTAAAATACGTTAAATATAAGTGAATAATTACATAAATTTTTTTTGTTTTTTTTTTTTTGTAACAATTTATTAATGGCTAACAATTGAAAACCAACACTAACTAAATATTATTAAATTATTGGGTCAAATAAATTACCATTTTGAGTGATTTTATCTTCTCTCTCATAAAATCATATTAATATTAACAACGTAAACAAAATATATAATACTATATAACATAATGTTTTACACATGTAGACTCTGTATAATATGAATTTACAATTTATATAATTTTTAACTACATAAATACGCTTATTAGAGCCTTATTTTTCTTTATATGACATTGGCCAGTTATTAATTATTCGTGATATATTCATTTTAATGTTCATTCTATTTCTATATTTAACACTGCATTTTGAGTACCTTGAGTTTCAAATAATTGTTTATTATTTTTTATTTAGAAAAATAATGTTCAGCTTCTATAACAGTTACGGGTGCAGTTATACCCGTAACTAAACTAGATTACGGATTTTAAAGACAATTGCTTTTTTTTAAAAATTACTCCAAAACGAAGCTATATCAGCTACAAATCCGTTTTATACTACTTAGAATAAAATCCATTTATTTTGCTTTTTTTGTAAATTAATGCTTTTTGGGTACTTTTTTTGTTTTTAAGTTACATTTTTTCAAAATATGTTCTTGATAAACGTATTTGAAATGTTAATATTTATTTTTATACTATATAATCTGTTCCAAGGTCATGGCTGGCCCAATCGATATTATCTAGTTATGTTTTATTTACGAATATATTTATCGATGTATTTTCGATAATGTGATTCACGTACCGTATGGTATATAGTAGATAAATTTATCTTGAAACAACAATAAATACAAAAATATGCCCTATTTTTTTTAAGCTTTTTTTAGTGCTTTTCTTTAGTTTTTTTATTGCTTTAAAATCCGTACTCTATTTATTAATGTTATACAGTTGGAAATACGGTAATGGGTACCACATAATTATTATGAATTATTATGAATATTTACTATAATAGAATAATTATTTTTTCTTCGGCTGGTTCTCAAATTCTGAAAGTCGTATACATTTTAAAATTCATCCATATTTAAATAGATTTAATTTTTAACCATTTTTAAATAATGTTCAGTAATAATAGCATATAATTTTTACTGTTTTGGCTAAAAAAATTAAAAAGTTACGAATTTCTTATGTTATAGTCATGTAAAAGTAAATTTTGGTTGTTTAAATGTTGACAGATGAAAAACCGTTCATTAAGCTACAGTATGGAATCTAATCAAATCACTTAAATTACTTTTTTACTATAACGAAATCGAATTGCTGTATCGACTAGAATCGTATGGTTGGAATATTCGAATTTTATTCGATCACAAAGATTTATTATCAACAGAAGGACCTCCCGTCCAACTTTTTACGTTTATAATGTTTGAAACTTAAGTACATTGAAAATTAATCTTTTTCGTATATATATCTATATATATTGCGTTTTAGTTGTGTGATGGATGACTTTTTTTCTTCTTTTTTTTTTCTTTATTTTAAATACGAAATTGGTTTTTGTTTGCTGCTGTCATTTCTTTACTGCAGTACATTATCAATAGTATAATTCAATATACAAGACTATTTTATATGAGAATAATATAGTATTGCTGCATTAATCAGACCATTGTTGTAAGGTTTCTTCTGTCTGTTTTTTTTTTTTTTTCATTATTCGGTCAATTTCTTTTTGATTTTTAGATCCACACTCAAATTGAGTAGAAATTATAAAAATTATATGTATTCGTATGCTTATGTGTAGTGGTACATTACAATATGCATTCAATAAACAATTCAATTTTTCGTTTCTATTTTTTTATGCAGGAATTATATTCGTGTGTTTTGATTTAATATTGTGATGCTATTCATATTTAATATAACCTACCATATAAATACATATTATTTCTTACAAAATGTTTGAAACATACACGATGTTATATTATTACTGATAATAACTATAAATATATGAACAACATTTACAATAAAAACAAGTAGCAGAGATATTTAAAATGTGTTTCAAGATGTATTTACACCAAACAATGTATAACATGTTAAAAACTGATCAGTACATATAATTTCCGAGAACTAAAAGCTAGCCTTTGTGTCGTAATTTTTTTTTGTTCAGTATTTATTACACATAATGGTATTAAACGAATAATTTTTCAAATATATCGCATAAATGGTTAGATATTGTTATATTATTGTCTTTAAAATAAAATCAAGTTAATTTCCTATTTCGTATACTAATAATTTGTTTCAAGTTATTATTTTAATGGTCATTTTGACGATTTCTTATCGTCGTCCACGAAATTGTGCTTTAGGTCAAAACCACGTAACAAAAACTCGATTTATCCTTAGGATATGAAAACACGTTTTATTCATAACGTCAAATATTACCAAAATGAAACCAAAACCTACTGATTTTTAATTATTTAAGTGTTTAAAGTAGGTAAGTGTCTATATATATATATAATATATAATATATAATAATATATAATATAATTTGAAAAATTAAGTTTTCAAGTAGCAACACAAAACTGAGAATAAGGTAATATTTTAAAATTTCGAAATATCGTTATGCTTGAGTTTATCTAGATAAACTCAATTAGCCCTTATTTTTAACTATAACACTGTATAACTACAATGATAATATTATAAAATATTCCACTTATTCATCGCGATATTATGAAATATTCTAATTTGAATTTATATTTATATTAATTATTAGATAAGAGAAAAAAACGATTACCATTACCAAAACGATTAATTACCAATTGTAAATTTTATATAAGAAAAGAGATTTTTAATTAACTATAGAGTAGGATTTTAATTGAATAGATTAGTAGAATTTGGATTACACCCGATTCTTTTTTATATAAAAGCGAAAACACAACATAGCCATGAGTGATTTCTGTGCCGGGACACTTGGTTAGGTTGGGACACTTGCTTACTTTACATTTTCAAACTACTGTGCTGTTTCATAACAATTATATTTTAGAAATACTTTAATATATTCATTATTGTGTTTAAAAAATATGTTAAATAATAATGTAAAAAATGTATTGGAGGGTTGATTATTAAATAATATTGTTTAGGTAGCACTATGTGAATAGCCTTCTTAAACAGCTATAATATACATATGTGTTATATCTGTGGTCCCCGAATTATTTTTCAGAACACTTTGTCCTTCCAGATTGCATTAATAAAAGCATATCATTAATTTTTTTTCTTTCCGACTAAAATTATTACGATGATTGTGACAATGATTTATGATCCGACGTACGTCATACTGCGAGCACTTCAGATTTTTAACTCTTTCGTAACACACACTATTTTTAATATTCATAAATGATATTCAAATATCTGTTAAATTCTTTATATTTTACAGTTTCACAAAGTAAACAATAACGCTCGTTGATCAGTTTCAGATAACAATATAATAATGTTGTCAGCTACTATGTTACCATTCCATATATATATATATCGATCCTCAATGCATCGTGACGATGTGAGCGGAGACGATATATTATTATTATAGTGTTATAATATTATATGGACCAAGAGAAGAAATTGTTTTAACTGTAATGCGTGAGTACACAATACTTTAAGCAGGTACGTGACCAAGATCATAACTTAGGATAGACCTATTCATCATATTCATATATATGTATTCATCATATATAAGTGTGATTTTAAATTCTTCAGAAGAAAAAAAATATCCACCTGAAAAGGGTAAAAAGAAGACACCTATAATATACATAGGTAGAAATAAATATTAATTTAAATACATATAAATGTATATTATAAATTATGTATAATAATAATTATAACTTGTGCAAGTAATCAAATTGGTTTCAAATTAATTTTGTCAAAAAAAAAAAAAACAATAACCTGCAACTCTCAATCAAATCAGAATAATATAAAATGCTATTAACTTTAAAATAAAAAGACTGACATACTTTGTACGATTGGTGTAGACACTGTTATTAATGAGAAGTTGGAAAGGTAGGATAAAGAGGGGAAATTAATTTGTATCTGTAAGCAACGATAAATCATTGCTTACTAAAAACGATTCTGAGCGGAGTCCAGTTAATAGTGATTCTTTGTCATTAATATATACATATGTCATATTGTAGTAAAATAATTATGTAAGCATCATATATTTATTTTTTAAATATTTGTTTAATATTGTACTAATTTTCCCGTTTTTCCTACGTTTTCCCGGTTTTTTATATTTGCTAGAAAATCTATTGGAAAAATCGAAAAATGACTTCTTTAAATTACCCACCCAGTAGGATTTCCTTTCAGAAAAAGTTCTGTCGTTGTAAATCATAGCGAAATTGCTGGTAGAAAATTTGTCGACAGAAAAAAAAAAATCGTAATATATTTTTACTAATATCTACATTTAGTACATTTTTTGTTTTCCGGCATTTTTTCCCGATTTTTCCCAGATATTATGAAAACCGCTTAAAAAATCAAAATCATACCCTGTAATAATGTGATCTGTCTGCAGGTTTCACCGTTCTATACATTACATGTAATACAGCATATTATAATATTATCAATTTTCATACAGTTTCGATAAACTCATTTATGAAAGTGTTTCATCACGCGTTTTATCTGGTCAATATATCAGGATTTCTGGATTCTTCAAAAAGTAAGTATTTGCTATTATCAGAATTTCCGTTGCTCCGTCTGATTCAGTGGACATTATTTAAAAAAAAAAATCATGTTATTATATTACATCGTTAGGTTTAAACAGGTACTAATAAATAAATTTATCATTTTACTAATCTTACCACATCATTTGGAACTCCTGGTTTTAAACTAAATAAAGATTGATCAAGCGGGCTCGCTTGGCATCAAAATATTTATATTTTTAATTTTAATACATAATATTTATAATTCGTATAATCATGGATATGTGAGACCAGACGATAATTTATTGTACGTGTGTTATATTATATAATAATAAAATTATATTATACGTATATGTTGGAATTGACAGAATAATTTGAATTGATACGATTAAACCACAAAAATGGTTGATAATTCAAATGGTGTCTACATTTTTCAGTACCTAGGTAATTAAATGCAAGTGTATTAACTTGTTTATAATACGTAATAGGTATGTTTTATTAAGCGTTTAGAAATACTTTAAGAAAAATAACAGTGATTTAAAAAATACGATTTGAGAACTCGTGGTTAGCTAAGTAGGATGATTCTCACTGTATATTCACTACATCCCATCTTTATTTATTTTTAATACGATTTTAAGATTTATTTATTTTTTTAATAATTTGTCTGGGATTATTATATCATAATTTATTTATATACAAATATCGTTCTTAATTAACTCTTACCAAAATATAAAAAATAAATAAGTCAGGCATAATCCTATATAATAAGAATTATACTGCAGAATATATTATTTTATAAAAACTTTACTTATATCTTTATCTTAGATCAAGAATAATATGGCCGAAATATTAAATAAGTGGTAGTATTTTTGAAAAAAACATTCCTTGTTTAATACATAATTATATTATTATCATTGCATATAACGTGAATATTCATTTTTTTAAATAAATGGATGTACCTATAATATTAAATATATTTTATAATAATTTATATTTTATTTCCATATTGACAAATTTTATCTGAGGATTATTTCAGTCGTTATTATGAAAATAGGTGTATGAAGAATAAAGATTGTATTCATGTTCAATAAACCTATATTAAATATAAACTTATCCTTTAAAAAATCACTACTACCCGAAATATATTATATTATTGTTTCAGAAAACCTGTAAAAACGCATTTGGCAAAATTTACGTAAGAAAAACCAGAGGCATTTTAAATATTTGTATAGATACCGATGACTAACTAAATAATAAATTACGGTGATAGATCAATACCTGATTATTATGCCATCCAAATGCAAAGAATAAAGATGCATTTTTAAAACGGATCCTTAATGAGGCTTTTATTGGATATCAATAAGGGAAATACGTTATTTTTGTTCAATAAACAAATAAGGTTATCTTAATGTGTGACCATGACGTGTGTGTAATATGATTTAATTAGTGTCCATCAAATTAAATTGTATAATAATGAAAAAATATCTCAATAGTTTTCTAAAAAGAGTGAACATAATACATTTCATTATAATGAAGAAAATAAATTATTTAATTGCGTTACCCGATACAACGGGTACAGTACTTTTTCATAATGCTTCATAGGTATAAAATCAACTTTTAGAAGGAATAATCCGTGTTTAAAAAAGAAGAGATGTATCAAAACAAAAGAATGTGTCAACACACAACAATTTTATAGGGTCGACGTTAAACCGGAGTAGTACAAACAATACAAGATAAACATCGTAATCAATAAAATATTTCAAGAAGTCTCAAAAATCGTTTGACTGATATGTATTTATTTTACACATATACAGACACACGGCACTATTACAAATTATATATTAAAGAATAATAATGTAAAACCAAAATTGTATTTATCGTCCTCGTTGACAGAAACCACTTTTGAGACTCTATTCAAAATATACTTTCATCATAATTTTCATTAAATTTCGTAGAAGAGGGGGGGGGTTAAACCCCTAAAATCCAACCTTGTACACGCACCTAGAGGTGCGCCCCAGATGCAGGGTACTAGTAATACTAGTATCTGGAGGAGACTGTAGACCACACGCTCTTCGACTGTTCACACTTGGAGTCTTCCCGGCTGACAGTGAAAGCGTTCGTCGGCAGTAATAAACGTCGTTCCAATAGCGACGTCCCTGACCTACACTGTGGTGCGACGGATATCCCGTCTTAGGACTCAGACCACGTCCGACGCAACTAACTCTCGGCTGCTTCTTTGTCCACGGTGCGTAGTCTTTCTACTGCATACGATACGGGTCGGGAAAACTATAGCTCCGTTATAAAATAAATTAGCTTAAGTTACCTCTAATGCAAGGGGATGTTACGGGCGTTATACCCGTGCATCCCTCTAACGATTGTATTATTTAATATTATATTCGTGTTCTATGTAACCCTAACCCACAAAGGGGAAAATAAAATTGTATTTAGTGATCAAAATCTTCAACAAGACACTCATTATCTCGGAAAGTATTAACTTTTTTGAAATTTTTTTTCTAAAACATTTAAGAAACAAGTATCTCTGAAATGTTTAGGTAAGGAGAGAGAATGGAACATAAGGCACAGCATTTGAATAGTACTTTACTACTCTTCCTCTACATAAACTTAAAAGTGGAATATTTCGTCAATAAATTGATAGAAATCGAAATAAACTAATAGTCCATCTATTTATGGAATATTTAATAACGGTTGCCTTTAGAAAATCAAAAGTGGGTAGTGGTTTTACTCCTTAAAATAGCATTTATAAAAAAATATGCAAAATTTTAGAGTTGCCTATTTCTTAAATTTTCTAAAAACAATGTCTTATCGAGCACCATATACTACCATATACCATATAATTGAACCTTAAATAATAAACTATAACAGTAGTGGGAATGTATTCTGGAAATAGACCCTAGTGTTGTCAATTTAAATTGGAATAAAAGGTCAGGAAAGAAGACGATGACAGGCTGTGGATCTGGCTACTACCTGATTAGGCTATCTCACCCAGAGTATGGCTGGCGTCTTCGCCTTGAAGAATGGGCAGGGTCAAAGGAATCAATTACAATGCAGGCCACCCCTGCTCTGGAGGTGTTTATTTAAGAAAAAAAGATTGAATTAGGTTCAATGGCACCCAAGTGTTTCATGATGAATATGCACGGTGTATAATTAATACCCACTCAGAGACGGATCCGGAGGGTCTAGGGACCCAGGCCCCCCTAGACATATTATTTCTTCAATTTTTTTTACAATTCTATAGATCCTGATATAACTATATTCCAATCACAGATACATATGATCATATAATATATTTTAATAATTTTATTTGTGTTGTAAAAAAATTGTCGGCTCCCCCCCCACCCAGATCTTTGCTCTGGATCCGTGCCTACACCCGCCTACCACCCATGCCAAAACAAAATAAATTGTACTAGTTAACAGATGTTGATTAAAGTTTGTTCGTTAAAGGTATAGCGGTTGCAAAACCTTACATATAAGATGGGCGCCATTAATTAGGATAGTAACAATATTCAATAATCGAAAAATATTGGTGTTTTTATCTAATTATGGCTATTTTGATAATTAAGAGCTAAGATAACATTATTGTTTATTTTTACTTTTTAAAATTCTCCTTCGTTAACAAAGTTATTATGTTGATTTGAAGTTCTGTAAGTCCAGAATCCTAGTAAATATTAATGAATACGCTAAATTAATTTTACATAACAAGTGTGTAATTAATAACCGACCAATATAACAAAGTATTAAGTATGAATACACATCAAATAACAACAATACGTATGTATTTTCGTGAACTACCCTCTAAATAAAAGTACTTGAAATAATACAATATTATATATGTATTAAGTACATTATATAATATAAACATTTTAAACAAGACCGAAAAGCTTTTATACATACATGATACAACTATACGAGGCACTAAGCCTACATGGCTTACCTAAATCGTTTACAGAGTGATCAACATAACGTAAGACATGCATTATCTTGAAAAGCATTAACTTTTTTTCGGAATCCGTTTTTTACAACATTTAAGAAACAAGCAGTTCCAAGATATTACAATACCATTGTTTTTTTCACCCTTATATTTGTGATTGCCACGCTGCCATACAAATTAAATTCAACAACTCTTTTCTAGCCCAAACTTAAAAGTGGACTACCTAGTCAACAGATTGGCGGAAATTAAAGATGACAACGCCAAAATATACTTAAACCTTCATTCAATTGTGGAATTTATAATACGAGTTGTTATATGAAAATAATAGAAATGTAGCACTTTAGATCTACTATTGCTTCTTAAATATGTTCTAAAAAACAAATTCCGAAAAATGTTAATAATTTCCAAGATAATTTGTGTCTTAAGTTGATCCATCTGTATATTATACGATTAGACGTTACAAGTATTATAATGGTCCGAGTCGATGGCCCATGCGAACGCTATAATTCAAATTATAGATTCTAAATGCTTCTACTCGTATGATATTATATTATCGCGTGTAACTAGTCGACTATAGTGTCTACAAGCTGTTTTTTTTTTTTTTTTTTTTTTTTTTTTTTGTACACTTACTGACGGCAGTAGGGTAGACACAGATTTTGTAAT